AATTTTGGTGAATATTTTTGTCATTTTTGGTAAAAAGTAATATTTTCCAATATTGTTGAAAACCGCAAGTCTGATTGCTTTGATACTATACATATTGTTCATTTTCTAATGATATCTTCTGTTCTTTAATTGTGATGTGCATTGCTAACAGCGGAGCTATCTCAGCCGAGAGGCTGCTTGTTGAGTTATCCTGTGGACAGACAGACAAACCAACACTACCGAATATGTAACCTCCTTGGCGGGGGTAAAAATACATAAAATTGTGCAAAATATAACCATCAGCATTTTGGCGGGGAAAATTACCATATGTTCTTCAAAAGGTTGTACTTCTATTAGAAAACTTCATAATAAAATAAAATAAAAGTAAGATAAAATCCACATTATCACTGAGCATACCATTTACATGCAAAACATACTTAATTGCCTCTATGGAACCTCCCTGTATATTGACTTAATTTTAGAAGAATGGGGTATTGCAGTGTTGGTATTCATATTTTATACGCTTAAATTGCCCAATTATCATAGTAAGTATTTTAGCATGAATTATTTAAAAATACAAACTAATTGATTTAATATACAGTATGTAAATTTGTAGATAATTATTTGATGTGACATATCGCAGTCCCTCAAATCCTTTTTAAATTTGGATGTAATTTTGTGTAATAAGTTTGTCTTTGGTCAGCAGTTGCATTCAAAAGATGTGTATTGCAAGTCTCTTATCGGTTCTCTTTGCAGTGTATTCCCCCTATGAACATGGAACATGCCATCCAACTAGTGACATGAAATTTTACATACATTAACGATTGATCATGACAATGTTCAGAGATTTTTAAAAGTCAAACTCAGTGTTTTTCATGTCTGTGCGCTTTTATTGGAGATGCGTTTGTACCTATTTTTTTAGCTTTTAAATTTTTTTATTTTTAAAAGCAGCATATTAAAAAATATTCTATAATTGGAAGGTTTACAAAGTAGATTACATATCTTTAAAAGTGAGTATCTTTACTGTTCAGAATAATACTGCTTTTTTTTTGTAAATGACAAATTTCTACATATCTGTGTAAAACTAAAAAAAAACATGTTGCAACAGACAAAATTTTAGTTAATTTTCAGTTTTTACTGAAAGAAATTGGCTATTATTGTGTAAATCTTCTGAAGGAAAATGCAGACTATAAAATTTGTGAATTTGTGATAAAAAGGGAGATGTGATGGTGAAAAGATTAAGGGTTGGACCTTAATTCTTACTTCAGTGTAATAATACCGGTAATTGTCAATAATTCAACAGGTACTTGTATTAGAGAATGGTGCCTACGGTAAAAGGATTGGACAGATTTTGAAAGTATTGGGTGTGGAAAACACAGTGTTGAGTTTTGATGAAGACAAGTCTATTGATGTTGGTGTGGTTAAAGACCACCTTCGCAAGGATTCTCTCTATACCAATGTGTCCATTGTACATTGCGAAACCAGTGCGGGCGTTTTCAATCCTGTATCTAAGATTGGGGCACTGGTTAAGAAATATATCCCAGGTATGTGTAAATTGGGACAAAAGTCAGTTGTAAATTTCAGAATAACTGTTGGTATATGGTTTATCTGATTGTAAACAAAGGTACATTTGAGATAAATTGGATATTGAGGTGCCAATCAGAGCACAGATGGAGAAACCAGTTGAAGTGCAGATTCACTATTAAATGGCTAGTGCTACTATTCATGTGTCCAACGTTTTCTTTTCAAATAGTCTAATTTTATCAATGGGACTCCAACTAATTTGTTTTTTTCTTTTGCCATACTCCCATCTGTCATTTCAGATGCATATTATTTCGTAGATGCTATGAGTAGTTTTGGTGCAGTACCATTGGATCTTGAAGACAGTAACGTACATTTTCTTGTCAGTTCTGCTAATAAATGTCTTGAAGGTGTCCCTGGTTTTTCTTATGCCATTGCACATAAGGAGAGTTTGCTGCAATGCAAAGGTACGTAAACATTCTGATTGTTGCTACATAGAATACAGACTGAGCTAACATTTAACTGGCTTCAGCTTCATTTGAGCTACTTTAGCTTGCCTTCTTGACCACCATTTATGCTGAGTAATTAATTTGCCTGAATATGTCTCATCATATTCGTATTAAACATTGGTACATGTAAATACTCATAGATAAAATTATTGATGACAATAAAACCCACTTTAAAAGCTTTTATGAAAAGGCAAATCCAGCTTATGAGGGATCATCACCTGCACATAGAGCCCTAATCAATGATAACATCGCACACTAAAAATGCAAAGGCTCATGGGTAAGCAGTATGGTCGTCTGCTGCATGTGCAGGTTGCGACTCATCAGCTTTAAGCATGGTGTATACCTGCAATGGTGAAGATAAACATACATAACATAAGGGATCTCTGCATGTGTTTAGCTGTGTTTAGCTGGATTTTCTGTATTTTGATGTTTATAGAATTCTGTTTGCTTTTTTTTAACAAAATCGATAGGCAATTTGAAATAGTTAACTTTATTAGTATTATTGAAGAAAAAAATTGTTTTTATCAGGTAGAGCAAGAAGTATGAGTCTGGACTTGGTTGGACAGTATGAGGGTTTGTCAAAGAATGGACAGTTTCGTTTTACTCCGCCAACTCATACCATGCTAGCTTTTAAACAGGCGCTGATTGAACATGAAGAAGAGGGTGGAGTAGTAGGAAGAGCCAACAGGTGGGTTAGATAGAAAAGGGCGCTAAATCCTTGTCATTGTAATAATACCTGAATGCTTGCATGGTCTCTGTAGTAATGCACAAACTAAGCATCTAGATAGAGTTCTTTCTCCACATCTGCAATGTACATGTAAGCTAAAAATGTGCCAAAATCAAGAATTTCAGCCATTTCAGAACTTTGTGTCGGGTATGTGTGGACAGATTTCAGTCACACTTGGTCACATTGTGGGACATTGATGCACATCTTTTTGTTTTACCAATCTGATTCAAATTGTCTGGCTGTGGGTGGACGTTTGGTTTTCAAAAATGTAGTTCTAGATCCTTATTTCAGACATGCCTATTCCAATCATGTTCAAACTTCACACAAACATGATATTCATGTATATCATCGTTTAGCAATTCAATTCAAGTTGGGCGACTGGTGGCCCATTGTGTGCTAAAAATGCCCTAAAATCCAGTATTTAATCATTCCTGGACTAGATCTTAGTTTTGCAGTGTTTTACACAAGTAGAGCATGATGCACATGATTATCTTAAAAGATCTGATTTAAAAGGGCTGAATATTGGACATTTTGTTTCCAATCATTCTAATGTCATATCTTGACAGGTCACACTTTAAACTTTCATTGGTACATCAAGAAGACTGACATGGTGGCCATTCTTATTGTGCACTGTGCATGTCTACCATTCCTGAATGGATATGATTAAAACATGATTTATAAATAGAGCATACTTTATTTATCCGCGTAAGCGCCCAGGGTCCTGAAAATGGAAAATGGACAAAAAATAGGGGCGGGCGTATGCCCAGACAACCCCTGCAAAAAAACAAAAGTTCATGAGATTTGACAACACACAGATCTAACTGCGGCAGGGAATAGAATGGCAAATGAAAACATACAAAGGAAATAAATGAACAATATGTAACATTAGAAGCATAACAAAAATAATTTAATCAACAGTGAGGAATCATTTGAATTAGAATTTACCCACCGACAAACACTGTGCGTGAACTCAAAATGAGCTAACAAATACCGGTTTGACAAATATCAAATAAACAGTCATACAAGATCAATAATAATTCACACAGTAACAAATTACGAAAGTTCATAATTGTTTGAAAAAACTCAAAGTCAAAATCCTTAAAGTCCAAGTCAGCGCCACGGCGTCAAAATCTCTACAGCTTCGTCCTGAAGTTTATAGATGTCGGCACACACAATTTGGACTTAGCACATTTAATTTATGAATTTCACTGTCAATCAGCTTGACACTTTTTATTTATGTCTAATCAGAATAAAGAAACTTTCTTATCAGACTAGACGCTCATCAATCATGGTGAAAGTTACCATTCAGCAAGTTCCAGCGGTTGGAATGTCCTGGGGAGTGTCTCAGTATATCGCGATGGGCTTGAAATAGGAAGAATTTTTTTTTTCTCCCATGACAGAAGAATAATTTTCATGATAGAAATGTAATAGCTGTGATAAAAGATGGTAAAAAAGTTGGCAATCTTCGGCATCATTTGCAAAATTTAGGTAAAATGCTCCTATCAAACAATTGGGAGTAGTAATTTTCATTCCATCTGATGAAAATTAGTAAATTCTTCATGTCCAGTTGAACAATAAAATCTGCTAATGAAACATTTACAATGTTGCATTTCTTTTTACGTTACAAGCTTTCCATTACAAGTACAACTGTATTTATACTTCCCCATTTGAATGAAGCCCAACTGGTGTGTCTCCGTTTTCACCGGTGTTTTGAATACTAGTATGCCTGGTCCAATTACATTTAAATATTGCACAAAAATTCAAAGTTTCAGAATTCTATTCAAGATGCCTGAATGACGACCATTTTTGTGCTCAAAATCAAAATTAAGCATTCCTGTCATTTATTTCAAATTTAGAACAAATATCAGACGTTGACACATATCATTTTGTTTTCAAAACAGATTTAAAATGACTGACTGGTGACTATTTTGTTTTAAAGTATGTGGTTCCACAGCCATATATCTTCGACATGCTATGACTTTTCACTTTCACATATCCATCATGTCACATGCACATTTGATGATACAATACAATATGGCCAAATGGTGGCCATTGTAATCTTAGAAATTAATGAAAATCAAACAATTCTGCCATTCGTGTCTCGGTTGTGTATGGATAGATTTTGTTCAAACATTGAACATTATAAGACTTTGATGCATATCATTTTGTTTTATAGATTGATTTCAAAATGGCTGACTGGTGGCCATTTTGTTTAATAAATGCAGCTCAGCCATTCCTCAAACATGTTCTGACTGTTCATGTTCAATCTTTATATATTTCTTAAACTTGATAACTTAAAAACTTTGTAATGAATGACACAGTATTGCCATAGACAAATCACCAGTCTGCCTTATTCAGAAATCTAACATGTTCCAGCATCTAGTTCAACATTTAACCCTTGAAAGCCAAAGTCAACATTTATTACCTTTCACAAAATAAACCTGAATTTTTATGTCAATTACTTGTCTATTTGATCCAAAATTAACAAAGAAATCATATAAAAATGCATAAAAATGGGCAAAATTTTTCACCAAAATTGTAGCAGGAAACATCATGCTCAAAGGTGCTCACACTGAAAGTATCATGCTGAATGTGCCACTTTTAAATGCTATTCTCACCGACACATGCATGTAGCTGTTCTCACTGGATTCCAAAATTGTGTATATTTTCAGATATAAAAAGAATAATGCAATCTTGAAAGATGGGATGAAGAAATTTGGATTTAAAGAACTTGTGAATGATAATGATCAAGGATACATCATCACATCATATCATTACCCAAAAAATTCAAATTTTAACTTTCAAGACTTCTATGCCAGACTGAATGATAAAGGTATTTCATTTCAGATTGCCTTCATTTATAATTGTATTGCTAATTTTATTTCCCAATTATGGTAGTGAAGAATTTATATTTACATTGAAAACAAATTCTGATTTTATTCCTCACATATAAATATGCTGGTACTCTGTGACGTCATTTGGTTACTTTTATACCAACCAGCATGTTCTGAACCAAAAAAACTGTGCTCAAATCAGCATTTCAAGCATGCAATCAACTCTAACAATGTTTTCAAATTACATACTTGTATATATTCAATAACAAGCAGTGGAGAACACCATTCTTTATATCGTATGCAAACGACCAACTGGTCACTGTGTGCATGCATAAAATGTAAACAGCGGTGTCCCCTCTGCACCATCTTTCAAAAAAAACAGGTATCCAGGTTTCTCAATAAAATTGGGCACACTGAGAAATATTTCTTTCGTATTCAAATATACCTGATTCAAGATAAAATCACAACATTTCGCAGTATATTCTCAAGTCACTGAAATTGTAAAAATCTGCATGAATTTATTCATTCAACTATTTTCTTCTATGTTTTTTTGCCCACAACAGATCAGGTCATATATCCAGGTAAAGTGACGACTGCAGACTGTTTCCGCATTGGAAATATTGGTCATCTGTACCCGGAAGATATGACCAATCTCATCAGTTGTATAGAAGAAGTCTGTCGCGATATGAACATGAGTCTGCCTCTTGTTGAATAAAATTAAAGATCCTCAAGCGGCGTTTTTTGCCAATCTTTTTAATTTTCTGATATATCGTATGTAATTACCACAGTGATTTTTTTTATGAATTCCTCTGGATAGCATATTTGTATATAATTGCTTTTGATCATATTGATCACATTCTCAAATTATATTTTAGTATTATGTGAATAAGTTATGAAGTCTGATAAACATCATATTGATGTTGAATTATCATCAAAATAAAATACAACTCAATCAAGCTTCACACTAGACAGTGTGAATTTTAATTATGAAATGAAACATTTCTCTTGCATGATAAATTTATTGTTAATTTGTTTAAAGTGTTTCTAACATTGAAGATTCGGGGTGAATTACATTACTACCGTAGCACACTTCTCCAATAAATCGCTTCTCTGAGGTCAAAATTATGCGACGTTGATGTGTGTAAGCAAATATAGAACACTGTACACTTGTGTAGTTATTGGTATCTTGTATTTTCACTATTAGAAGCACACACACTGTACGCTTGTGTAGTTATTGGTATCTTGTATTTTCACTATTAGAAGCACACATATTGACCAAAAATAACATTTGTTGTACACTGAATTATTATTATGACTACAGAAACACCTCTGTAATTTAAGTAAGTGTTTGCGCTAATAACAGAGCAAATACAGTCATATTGCAAATAAAAATGTATTTTATTGAAGGTGAAGCACAGATCAAAACAATATCTGGGAATTTACACATAGAATTCAGTTAAGTGATTTGTCACAAGATGACATAAGGGATTGGTGTATTGACAGTTGACAAAACTACAGGATGTATTACTTTCATGTCTTTGGAAGAATTGTTGGATCAGGGAGTTCATGTGTTGTAACTCGGCTGCTCAATTGGAAGGATGGTAACCATGCAATCAAAATGAGCGTTAAACCGAGGAGCTCATTGAATGACAAAGTGAATGTGTACCAATGCCAAATTAACCTTATCATCAACGTCGCACATTTGTTGTGACATATGATTATAACAAATCTGGCTGTATATGATGAGTCAGAGGGTCATTTTACGGAGTAATTTATCGGTTATTATCTAGCATATTAAATATAATTTCTTTTTTTTAATCAATATTGTTTTAAGAATAGCATTTGACTATTTCAAAATAATGTCGATAAAATTATTATAATGTAATTTTAAAATTTGCAATACCTTCTATGCTTTAAATTAATTAAATTACCGCTACATCACATATTATGTGTCACAGATTATGCGTATGAATCTACACTATTAAAGAGCCTTTATATAATAATATAAGAATAATATAAGAATTATTCTATACCTACCTATGGACTTCCTAAACTGGAACTGTCTAATGAACTGTTGCTGTGTTGTGAATTATTCATTTTCGAGTTGAGTCATTTTTGTACCAGTGTGTTTCTTTGTATCTAACCTATGTGGTTTGCTATGCTTTATTGTTACCTGTGCTTTTTAGTTTATATAAAAGGAGAATTTCCAAGGTTAAATCATTTGTTAGGGAAGAGGTAGCTTAGTAATGTGCATTTAAATCCTTCAGATAATTGAAAAACAAAATAATAGGAGGGAAATAATTAACCAGGGTTTTAATTTAACATTTCAAAAACATGATGTTTATACATTATAATAATTCAGTCCTACACATCCTTCAGTGAATTCTCATGCTGACCAATCACCGGTCAGATTGGTCATTAATAATGTATTAGGATAATTCATTTGTTTCTTCAGGTATGTCAGTCTGTTTAGGTTATTTTTTATTAATACTGTCACTTATTTGTATTACATGTATTTAGATATCGTCCAAATCTGACACAAACATAGGTTTAATAACCATTTAAATCCCAGCTCCATGATGTTAAACTTTTCCAGAAGTTGCGCCCTCTAGTGGCAAACCTAGCCGGTCATTACATGTAGTGTCTTTTGCCTGGGTTGTGAAAAAATGGTCTGAATGGCCGCCGGGTAATTCTAGTTATTACATCTACTTACGCTAGTTTTTATGATGGGCTGCTTTCTGCAAACTCTGCTGCATAGAGCTTTATTGTACTTTCCAGTGTGGCAACAAATATTTTTAGCTTCGTATCGTGGATTTGTCGCCTGTGTCGCGTCGTTCGAGAATCCAAGATGGTAGTCATTGTATGTTCTGTTGGCGGGAAATCTGACGAGTAAGTCCCCGCTACAGAAAGACTTCTTATTGGGCGGTAGTTCTACCCTCCTGAATCCCAAGTCTCGTTTTGTCTTTCCCGGCGAACTATTTCGCCATTGTATGTTGGTTATAGTACATGTTTCTCCTTTCCTTGTACCCTTCATTCACTCATTTTGTTTCAGCTGGGGCTATTTTTCGATGTTCTCTGTACTCGTTTTCGTTCAGTGTTGCAGCTTGGGTCGTGTATATTGAATTTTAAGTTGCATCTTGCAGAGCGTTCAATCTTTCCACCTTTCTTGTGCTTGCACCTCAGTTTTTCGACTCAGACGTGGCACGCATTACTTCAATAGAAACCGCGTTGTTGAACTAGAAATGCACTCGTCTTGTGCGGCGTTGCTTTTTCTTTCTTTTAAATTAAATTTGTTGCTCCTCTGAATCGAATTAGCGAAACTCCGGATTGAGGCAGACCGTTTTCCACCAATAACTTCGCCTTTTTTATATTGTATTTTAAAAAGCTTTTTGACGAGTTCCCGCTTCGCTAAGTCTTTAAATACTAGTACATGTAACTTCAACACTTCCTTATCGCTTTCTCAATTCAGTGTTTGGTGACGTCAGGCGGCATGGTGGTTTCTTTCAAACTTGTTTTGACTAAGTCCAATGAAAGCCCGCCTCTGCTTCTTTTGATCAGAATATTAGTACCTGTCAAGGACAAAATACAATACATGTACTGAATGAGAATAATCCATATAATGTCTCCATAGAAACCAAAAACTATGCATTTCAATTATTAAGGTTGTTAATTATTACAATGTTACATGTAACATCTTACCTTCGATCACGCTGTTTTCCTCATTTACATCCACTTCATTAAAAGAACAAACTTTCCTAGTTTTCTTCGCCCGGCACCATTTTTTTTATATTTTGCCAAACAAGTTTAATTGGAAACATCCGACCTGAGACTCTTTTCCACTCTTTCGCTGTTTCTCTCGTCGTCGTTTAATCTTCTTCGCTCCCACTGGAGCATAAGGCACCAATATACTAGTTACTCCTCCAGGCTTCACGATCCTGAGCAAGCAATGAAACTCGTTCCAGGGTTTCCCCATTTCTACCATTTCCTTTTCCACTGTCTTCCGCCAGGTGCCCAATGGTCTGGACCTCTTTTTCCTCGTGGTGCCCATCTGAGTGCAGTGTGTATGTGTCTGGTCTTATTCATTCTCATTACATGACCTAGCAATCGCCAGCGTCTTTGTTTTGCTTCATGAATGATATTGGCGATCCGCTTCGCTAGGATTGCCCTTATAATCACTTTTGTCGTTTTTGGCGATCTGCTCCGCTAGGATTGCCCTTATTGGTGATCCACTCCGCTAGGATTGCCCTTATAATCACTTTTGTCGTTTTGTGTGTCTGTGTGTGTAAATTTCCAGTGTTTTCACGTATGATTTCTTCTGTGATTTTTTTTGGCTTGGCCGACTTCTTTCAAACTTGGCAGGTAGGTCACACCTTCACCCTAGTTATTAGGAAAATTTTTT